TATAGATTCATATATATTCATTCACATGGTATATAATTGGGTCTGTATAAAGGAATTACATTCTACGTAAATTATATGATACACAGACACACTCACGCACGCACACCCCATATATATATATATATATCATATATACATATATATATATATATATATATATGTGTGTGTGTGTGTTGTCGACCAGGTTGAATACTCTATGAAGTGAGCGAGTAGACTAAGCGGTTAAAAGCACTCATATCCCACCAATGTGTATTTGGCAGTGAAACATTTCATGCGAACAAAATTTGAAGAAACATGAATATAAGTGGATAAATTACTTTTTTGCGTGGTATGTCTGTACCTGGACATATCGTCGACTGCTACTTGTATCTTTTATCTTTTCAACGGTAGGGAGTGAATAAGGTACGTACCTCTGCTCATAACTGAGATATTGATCGCTTAGTTGTGAAAATCATACAAAATACGTAACTTTAAATACTTGGAAGATATATAGATCATATCATATGTCCCATTGTATTTCGTAACCACACGCCACACGAAGCCTCTGGTTCGCTTACTTACCCAATAACACACCCACAAACCGCACAGATATACATACTACGCCGATTCGCACAAGATTCTTGGGCAGACGTTCGGCATGCTGGTGCTGCAGGACTTCGAAGCGCTGACGCCCAATCTGCTCGCGAGAACTGTAGAGACGGTGGAGGGCGGTGGTATCGTTGTGTTGGTACGTCTACATGTAGTCTGCGTGTCTTGCGTTTTAACGGATATTAGTACTGCGGGTTACTCAGTTATTTATTCCGATTTTCGGTATCTGGATTCGCAGTTTCAACGACTAGAGACTTGGTGCCTATACTGACTTCTGAACTTACCTATTGTTTCAATTTGCAGCTTCTCCGCACAATGAAATCCCTGAGACAACTTTACACAATGACCATGGACGTGCACAGTCGCTTCAGAACAGAAGCACATCAAGATGTAGTGGCCCGGTTCAACGAGCGCTTCTTACTATCTCTGGGAGATTGCCAAAACTGGTATGATTCAGAGTACTTAGAATGCATAAATATTTATCTAAATACGTAGCAT